CCCGCGCCTCGAGAGTGCCCACCAGTGCCCGCGCCTCGAGAGTGCCCACCAGTGCCCGCGCCTCGAGAGTGCCCACCAGTGCCCGCGCCTCGAGAGTGCCCACCAGTGCCCGCGCCTCGAGAGTGCCCACCAGTGCCCGCGCCTCGAGAGTGCCCACCAGTGCCCGCTCCTCCAGAGTGCCCACCAGTGCCCGCGCCTCGAGAGTGCCCACCAGTGCCCGCTCCTCCAGAGTGCCCACCAGTGCCCGCGCCTCGAGAGTGCCCACCAGTGCCCGCTCCTCCAGAGTGCCCACCAGTGCCCGCGCCTCGAGAGTGCCCACCAGTGCCCGCGCCTCGAGAGTGCCCACCAGTGCTCGCGCCTCGAGAGTGCCCACCAGTGCTCGCGCCTCGAGAGTGCCCACCAGTGCCCGTGCCTCGAGAGTGCCCACCAGTGCCCGCTCCTCCAGAGTGCCCACCAGTGCCCGCTCCTCCAGAGTGCCTTCAGGACCCGGTTCCTGCCAAGATGCCTGTAAATCTCTCCAGGCATTTTTTTGGGGGGGGTAGTAGGGCTTTAGCCGTAGAGGCGGGCGTTGGGTCCGCGGCCTCTGAGGCTACTCCGCCATGGCCTCCTGGACCGTCTGAGCCGCCATGGCTTCCTGAGTTCCCTACTCCGTCATGGTCTCCTGGACTGCCTGCTCCGCCATGGCTCCCGAGCTGCCTGATCCGCCCTGGTGCCCCGAACGTGTATCGCTCGATCCAGAGCGCCCACCGCTTCTGTGTATTTAAAGTGTGTTCTGCCCCTCGTTTCCCGTCTACTGTTAAGCGTAATTTTGTGTTCTCCGTGTTTCCTGTGTTCCCAGCTTTGTATTTAATAAATACTTTGGATTTTTCTTACTCCTCGTCTCCTTGCTCCTTCGTTCCCATGCTCCCCGTGTGAATCGTGACACTGCCAGGGCTGGTTTAGAAAGCACCTTATTATCCAATGACATCAACTGACTGAACTGAAGCTGCAGCATTATTGGTGTTGTCTTTATTTAAACATTGAATATGAATAAGTCATTCTTATAAACTGATACTGAGTTTGGTGTTATTGAATTTCAGAGGTGTGTGTGTAGGCTATTCCTTCAGTAACAAACCCACAATTCACTTCTGGCGCATACATTGTGTACATCTACATCTCAAGTAGGGTGAATTCAGGTAAAACGTGTCATTTAGATGCTTAGATGTTTTTTTCTTTCGTTAACTTTAAAATCCAGCAATAATATTTTAATTTTAATAGTTCACCTGAAGTGTTATTTGCAAGAAATATACCAATAAACATTTTGAGGCCATGTAGGGCCTACTCCAGACAAATTTATTTTTCAGGTAAAGTGGGCCATCCCTTATTCTCCCTTAGTCTTTCCTTTCTTCCATCTCTGACTTTAATTTCCTGACTGCAGACTCACTTCTGTTTTCTAAAAAAGAAAATTATATATGTCAGCTATAAAATAGCCAGTGAATGTCAATTTATTTAATGAATTTGAGTATAATTACTGAAGGTTAAAGGTCAAGCCACTTTACCTGAATCCCACCGGCGGACTTTATCTAGCACATTCGGACAAAGTGGGCCAGCAATATTTAAGCACCTTACAAGAAAACTATTTTATCATTTAGAGAAATAGTGTCCCTTTAATTAAGAACCATTGTTATGCTCTGAAAGTGCAAACCCACTGAGCACAGTACAATCAAACTTAAATGGCCCACTTTACCTGAATTCACCCGATTTTTAGCCTAAATAAAAAGTAGATGAAAATAATTGTCATGTCTTAAAAATCGATTCAACTCTATTTTATCCAAATTACTAGAAATAAATTTTAAGTTACTTTTTTCTAGTTTTCTTCAAACATATTTTAAAGACCGATCTTTGTGCAGCTGAGATCAGCTGTATTTGTGGCTACTGTCTAAAAAGCAACAAAGCCTAAATGTTGTAAGTGCATAATATATTCCCAACATGTTTAAAATAAGTGAGGTGTATTGTATTATCATATTTTTTTTACATGGCTAATGTGTAGTGCGATAGTCATAATCTTCAGAAATCGTTCCCACAATTCACATTTGAGCTCCACAGCAGACCACCTGACGGTCGAAACGGCATTACGTTAATAAAGTGTGCACTCAGAGGAAGACCACGAGGATGAGGCCTTAGCAGTGTGAAATGCTAGCTAGCTAAGTAGCTCAAATTCTACAAAGCACTATTTTCATTCCTCAGCACCCACTCGTGTGATATAATGGGCTCCTTCACGTCTGAAGCTCTGTTCACATGGCATGTGTTCGCAAGGGACTCATTTCTGCAAAGCAGCCATCAAACAATATGAACTGAGAAAAGCCATACATCAAAATTAAATTGATATTGAGGATTCGCATACACATGCTCACTAAAACATATCCAATATTACCTCATTTGCCAAATAATCCAATGATTTGTTCTGTAACTTTTGTTTGATCATCAATCAGTTGACGTTAGAAATTACATTTAATAGACTGAGTGCTCTCTAAAATGCCAAGACCAGCATAAAATGAAGAATTTAGCAACTTCATTAATTGTCAATATATTTATTATAGCCTAGCGGGCCTATGTTTTAACTATTGTCATATTCTCCTTTGAAAGCTTGTTAAAAATGGTAATAATGGCTTTTTAAATATGAACCAATCTGAGTTGTCGTGATGTAATTACAACTACAATGACTGAATCCTGAATGTGCAATTGTGTTTCCTGTTCACTACATTAAAGCTGTAACTATATGTATCTAATGTAACTATATTATCGCTCAGCTCTCTTTACAAGAAGTTTGATATAAAAGTATGTACAACTTAAGCCACATAATGAGCCCGACCTCATGAAAATGCATATAAATAATACGCCAAATAAAAAACAGAAAATCGTGGCATTAATAGGCAAAAATGGACTCTGGCATACATATGATACGCATCTACCCCACCACAACCCTAATCCTACCCATTGCGTATAATATGCACGCCAAAGTATGGAAGCCCGTTTCCGCCACTGAATAAAAATAAAAAATAGTTTATTGCGACTTTTTTTTCCACAGAATTGTGAGATATAAACTTGCAATTCTGACTTTAAGGTGACATACAGTATTATGCCCCTTTTTTACAATATGTAATATAAGTCTCTGGTGTCCCCAGAATAATGTCTCAAAATACTCCACAGGTCATTTATTATATCATTTTGAAAATGCCTATTTTGAGTGGAAGCAGAAACACGCTGTTTTTCGGGTCTGTCTCTTTAAATGCAAATGAGTTGCTGCTCCCCGCCCCCTTTTCCAGAATAGAGCTGCGCCATTACAGCTTATACCTGCTAAAAACATCTGTTTTGGTTCTGATCATCATGTTTATCGCGCTGAAAACTACAAACTCGCAATTCTGACTTTTTTCTCAGAATTGTGATATCGCAATTGCGAGTTATAAAGTCAGAATTGCGTGATATAAACTCACAAGCCCAATTTTTTTTGGGGAGTGGGGGACTGATATGTTCTCAGAATTGCGAGTTTATATCACAATTATGAGAAAAAAGTCAGAATTACGAGTTTGTATCACGCAATTATGAGAAAAATGTCAGAACTGTGAGATAAAAATCCGCAATTACCTTTTTTATTTTGTATTCAGTGGCGGGAATGGGCTTCCATACCAACGTCAATTTCTGCGTTTAAACAGTACGCCAAATCAAAACATTAACCCGTGCTATTGATATGCACTTTCATGAGATCGGATTGACATAATATACTTGTCACATGTGTTCTGTCTAGATCCTTTTTTTATGTTGAAGTGTTTCCTGTGCTGTATTTGTAGTTTTTGCCCTTGATTAGTCTGACTGCTCCAGTTTGTTGCCCCTTGTGTATTTACTGTATATCTGTGTTTCAGTCTTTGTTGGCTGGTTGTTGTCTAAAGACAAACACAAGGAACCGCCACAGAACACATGAGGCACTTGCATATTCAGCAAATCTCAACTGCTTGATTGCTTGTATCATTGCAATACGTAAACTATATTCTCTCCCAGCCCTAATCCGCTAAATGCAACTACAGGTACATCTAAAAAAAATTAGAATATCACAAAAAAGGTCAATATTTTTTGTCACTCATTTCAGAAAGTGAAATCCATATATTATATAGATTCATTACACAGAGTGAAATGTTTCAAGCCTTTATTTCTTGAAATTTTGATGATTATGGCTTATGGATTATGACAGATAATGAAAACCCAAAATTCAGTGTCTCAGAAAATGAGAAAAGTACATAAGATATGTATTAAACGGATAAGATATTTTAAACAGAAATGTCAGGCTTCTGGAAAGCATGTTAATTTACTGTACATGTACTCAATACTTGGTTGGGCCTCCTTTTGCATGAATTACTGCATCAGTGCGGCGTGGCATGGAGACAATCAGCCTGTGGCACTGCTGAGGTGGTATGGAAGCCCAGGTTGCTTTGATAGCGGCCTTCAGGTCATCTGCATTGTTGGGTCTGGTGTCTCTCATCTTCCTCTTGACAATACCCCATACAATATTCTAATTTTCCGAGACACTGAATTTTGGGTTTTCATGATCTGTAAGCCATAATCATCAAATTTTCAAGAAATAACGGCTTGAAATATTTCACTCTATGTGGAATGAATCTATATAATATATGGGTTTCCCTTTCTGAAATGATTGACAAAAAATATTGACCTTTTTCATTATATTCAATTTTTTTTTAGATGTACCTGTATAAGGCATGAAGACATGAGATATTATAAACATTAACAATGATTTTCACTAAAGCTACTTTGAAACAATGTGTATTATGAAAAACAACAACGTTGGACAACAGCATTTAGGCTGGTGAGTGAGCGCTCATGAACTACCAAGATGGCGGATTTAAAATCAGATGGCTTTCTCCAGAAATACTATCGACCTCTTTGACTCTAACAGATGATATGTTGGCGCTACAGTCAGAACATTATCATTCGTAAGGACGTCAAGCAGCATATTAAATGAAATGGCACGCTTCAGTTTAGGACTATATGGACACAAATACTTAGCAAAACGGAACTGATGCTTATAAAATTGCTTCACAAGCTAAAGGCCGTTTCACATGACTCGAGTCATGGCTTCAACTCATCACACAACGCTTGACCTTCACTGACAAACGGTCAAAATCACATCTGACTGAACTTTGAGCTTTGCATTACAATACCTGACCTTCTCCAGTTTATGCTTTATGGAATGTAAACCCAAATCATGTGAAAGTGTCTTGAGATCTCAAATGTTGTGAATCAGCTCAAACATGAAAACAAGATATTCATAAAGAAGCAAAGCCTCGTTTTTTTGACACTTCATATTGTTGTATTAGACTGTACCAAGGCAAATGTGCACTCTTGAACGGCAAGTAGCAGAACATTGAAAAATGATGTCCATCTTGCGAACACAAAGTTTGCTTGGATACTGATTTTACAAAAAATGCTTTCGTTTCCTTCAGAGGCATGAAGTCCTAACAGAATACTGAACAGTGCTGTATTTAACCCTCTAGGCACATTAGAGTCAATAATCAAGATGAACACAAACTTTTATTTTACAGATGGTGCAAAACTGAAATGATGAATCGACCATAAATGAAGCAAAGTAAAAGAAAAAAGCCTAGCTTATGTACACAATTTATTCGATACAAATAAAAAACAAAACACACTCTTCTTTTTAAATTTCATATCATCCAACCTATAAGAAGGTCATAAGAAATAACGGCAGAGTTGTCCAGCAGCGTACAATCACACAAGGCCCTGATTGGCTTTTAGTGTTTCGAAGTCATGTGATGTGAAAGCGTAGCAGCGTGGGCGGAGCTCAGGAGCTGATTGGAGGGATGAGATCAGCTGACTCTAAGGTATCCTCACAGGGGCTGTGGCAGCCGTCTGTCTGTCTAGAGCTCTTCAGATTGAGCTGCTGCTGAGTCTGAAGCTTCAGAATGAGCTCCTTGATCTCGTCCCGCTTGGTTTTCATCCGTTGCTGGGGAAACCAATCCAATAAATTCATCGGGAGATGAAAGCTCGGAAGAGGTTTCTGGGGGGGGGAGCAAATAAAATAATCAATTATAGCATTAGTTTCCAACTCAACAGTCAGTTCAGTTATATGAGGGTCACTAAAGTGTCTGAATGTAAATGAGTGAATCTTTCATCAGCATGTAATAATTTTCTCTTCCCCTGAAGCAACTTCTTTGCTGACATAAGTCAACGTGAGTGGAGAAAAGTGTAATCAATAATGTACTACAGCATTGTTGTAGAGATGATTCATCTGTAGATCATCTCTTTGTTTAATCCATTATTTAAAAAAATTGCTATTCCACATTCTGCCCAGTGCTGTCCTCCAAATGATGAAGTCAATGAAAACAAGTATAGTGAATGTATCTATGTAGAATAAAAAATTTAAACTGACTGCTCCCCAGCTGAAAGTAGATAATAACAATAATGCTCATATGATAAACAGATTACATTTATATTCTGGAAACTAAAAATGCAATCACTTGTTACTTGTAAAATTTTAGACCAGCATTAAAGGGTCATATGATGCGATTTCATTTTTTCCTTTCTCTTTGGAGTGTTACAAGCTCTTGCTGCATAAAGAAGATCTGTAAAGTTGCAAAGACTAAAGTCTCAAATCCAAAGAGATATTCTTTATAAAAGTTAAGAGTCAGCCACGCCCTCCTAAAACGGCTCGTTCTAACACGCCCCCACATGTCTACCTCACTATGTGGGAAGATTTGCATAACGCCGCCCAAATGTTCACGCAAAGAAAGAAGGCATAACTTTTATTCTTGCTGTAGTATTGTTGCCGCCGCTGCCGCCGTGTCGTGGAGACACTGTGTGTTTCGTTGTGAAAGCAAAACTACTTTGTTTGTTCTTCCAAAAGAGGACACGACTAGAAATCAGTGGTTAAGTTGTATTTACAACACTGTTCCAGAACACTTCAACCCAAATATTCAGATGTGTGCAGCACATTTTATGGAGGACTGTTTCCTGATCCTGGGAGAGTAGCCTACAATGCCGGCTGTTCTGACTCACAGACTGTAAGTACGTTTTCATATTTAAAGAATTTGCCACTGACGATTCAAACGTGAGTTTTGAGCAGTGTAGAGTAGGGCTTGTTGTTTGTCATTTCTCCGATCACAAATGCAGACATGGTTTTATGTTTACGTGGCGCGATGCAACGCAACAACACATTTGTTGTCAGTTTTCTTCTTTACTGATTAGTTGTTGCAGCTCTGTATTGTTGAATTACTGATTCTGATCAGCTGACACTCTTTCCAGGTGTGCAGAGCGATTATGAACAGAAATCGTAAGAAATTCAATACTGGTTTCCATTCAGATTAAGGTTACTGGTTCCTTTAATGATTCTTTTAATATATATGGGCACACAAAAAGCAACACTTCTGGCAAAATTCTGAGATCGGTTAACAATTCCTGTACAAAAGTGCTATTGCAAAAAACAAGCTTGTAACTTTTTTTGTTTGTTTTATTTCACAGCTCACGAAAGCTGCACTTGACAGCTGGCGACAGACACGGTTGTATGAAAATTCCGGTAACACTTTAGTTTAGGGACCAATTCTCACTATTTACTAGCATGCATATTACTAACATTAGCACTTATAAAGCACATATTAGTGTCTTATTCTGCATGACCATATGTTAGATCAATTAAACCTACCCCATACATAAACTTAACAACTACCTTACTATTGCTACAAGCAGCAAATTAGGAGATTATTGTGGCGTCGTAGTTAATAGTAAAGGTCCTTGCACAACGAGTCTGAAATTTTCGTATTCGTCAAGCTAAAAATTCATCACGCACAGAAACCTTGCACACCGAGTCCGATGCGTGTTAATTAATCAGTTGTGAAAAAAAAAAACATCACAAAACAATACTAAATGGAGTATTCAAGCAGTGAGGATGATTTTGTTGTCCTCTCGCTTCTTAAAAAGAGAAAAAGAAAGGAAATACTGGGTCCAACCGAGAGTTCCCCCTCCTTATTAAGGAGAAGAGGGATTATCACGGGCGATTTAAAGTTTACTTCAGGATGTCAGTAGCTATGTTTCCATCACCCTATTTTAATGCGCATTTTGAAGTATCGCATGAGAAACGAGTGATGGAAATGCAAAATTTCGAATAAAAATCCCTTAATTCGCAAAAAGGTTTTTACGCTCGCTTGAGGTGGTTTTTGACTCGTGTGAAAAAGGGTTTATGTGAATAATGGGAGATGGAAATGCATTTTGCGAATAAATTTTCCAAGCACATCAAAAAGTCATGTGACTTTGCGCTAAGGGACGGCAAAACCTGACTAACCAGCGGACCGATCTCATTTCACAGCTATGGAACGATATTCCGGACAATTTTCAAATAGAATAGCAAATTGT